CTCTCTCTCTCTCTCTCTCTCTCTCTCTCTCTCCACATCCGTTTTCGTTGTCGTCCTCCCTTCACTTTCTCCCTCCGTCCTCCCTCCTCCACGTGGATGGTGTGTCTTCCACTGACCTGAAAGAGCCTCCCGCCTATTCCTCCCTCGTCCTGCTCCCTTGTTCACCTTGCTCCTCGTTTTCCCTCATCCTCCCCCTTCATGATCGGCTTCCTGACTGTCACCGGGACCATCTCCATCCCCCTCGAGTCGCCGGCCCCGCACATGTGCATGTGTGTGCCGGGTGTGCCCCTCCCGCGCTCCATCTCGTCGCCACCATCCGACATGTGCATGTGTGTGTCGGGTGTACCCCTCCCCCGCTCCATCACTTTGCCACCATCCGATCGTGGCAAGTGTGAAAGGCGAACTGCTCCTTGTCCTGCTCCTCCTCCCGCTCCTCCTCCTTCTCCTCCTAGTGCTCCTCCTACCGCTCCTCCTCCTCCTCCTCCTCCCCCTCATCCTCCCCTTCCTTCCTCCCCCTCTTCCCGCTGTCGGTGGGAACACCCTTACAAGGGTATCCGCCCTGGTTTTTGCAAATGACAGAAAGTAAATGGTTCAAGGTTTGCAAGGCGCGGTTGTGTCTGTTGTTTGGGCTGACTTAATGATTGACTAAAGTAGAGAGTGTGTGGGCGCGCAGACTTACGACATGCGTGATCTCTTTTCTTGTTGATGAGTGTAGAGCAGGCATGGTTACCGACTGGATTTTTGTTTTGAATTAAATTAAGATAAAAGGGTTTTTCTCTTGATCGGTACGTTTGACCGCGATATGTGCGTACGTGTGGAGGACGGCATCGAGAAGAACGTGATTTTGAAACGTTTCAGTAGATCTGCGTGTTGCGCAGTATCCGCTTTATTTAGTTGTCCGTCAAAACTAGACCGAGTCTTGGGCCTAGCACGATTGGTTACGGTAGCGGACTTTCATCAGGGAGATTCAGAAATCGAGGCCAGCAGATGACGGCGCAGGAATATTGGAGAGACATGAGGGAAATCAATAGGTTAAGGACCCGGCGAGGCTACCCCCATGGCTTCGTGGTCCACAGGGTTGCGCGGCAGGACCATGACAAATTTAGAGTCCTCTTTGTTTTTCATTCCCTTGCCATGCGGTACTGCTGCCAATCCTTGTTTGATTATTTGATTTACCCTTATTTTATTGAAGTTATATTACTATGGTTAGTCGAGTATGCTCCGCGTCCGCCGGCCGCGGCACTAGGACCGGTAGCGGTCAAACATGCCTGCAAACCAGCGGGTGATTAATAGCGAGGCGAAAGGACCTGAGTAGCGTATGCCACTACAGGTCTACCGTCCGCCAACCACGAGGTTGTTGTGAGGAGTTTGGATGTGAGCACACCTCAGGGAGCCGAGAACTGGTGTACTGAGTCTGAGCAAGGGA